CATTTGCAGGAGCCGTTGCATAGCTGTCCTCCAGGACTGTGCTACTTTCGAACGTAGCCTCCCAGGATATGGCAACGTGGCCCTTAATGTGCCACTGAACCGGGAACCATCAAGCACAGTCCCACTGACGCGACGCAACATAACTGGATGCTCTAAAATGCTAGTTCATTTCATGACGGTTTGTCAGGTTCGCGCGCTTGTACTGCAATGCATCTCCGCAGTAATCGTGCTCACTCTGGAATGTTCAGGCGACCCCTGTCGACCAAAGCACGAATTGCCTTTGCTGGCCCTTTAAAACACTCCCTACAATTATGCTTTGTTCTTGCTCCTGAAAAAAATAATCTTGTCATGTGCTATCGTGGCGAATCGCCGCTTTACGAGATGAACAGTGCAGCGTTTTTCTCCCGGAAGCACGACCACTTGTGGCACTCTCAAACATTGACAAGATCTTCCGGCTTTCACGTGGGCGACACTTAATTTCAGGCTTACAGGTATTTCGACAGGCTTCTTCTGCCAATGAGGGCCCAGCAAAGTGATGAGGCTCTGGCTAGCATGCCTTCGAACTGTCAAAACTTTGCAGGAACGTCAGCAAATCTGTGGCCGCACCACTAATAATACCCTAAGCAATCAAGTCCTAACAAAACCCTTCGCCTAAGTGCGTCGGTATGGTGAAGCTCGCACACATACAGCCATGAGCTCACACAATGCAAAGAGTCGGTGAGAAGGGCCTTTAACTCCCAGTCTAGGCTTGGGAATGGAGGGGAGGAAGCCTTCAAATTTTCTGTTATAAAACTCTCGTTTGCGGTCGGGGTGCAGTGTCGAATTACTCTCTCCGAGAAAAAGACAACAATCACGCACGAATTCCTCTTATATCCGTGGCAAACGGCAAAGCCTACGGCACTTCCGACCTAGAGAGCGCAACTTTCCCTCCTAGACAAAACTCGAAGAAACACCTAACCAAGCAGCTTGCGTCATCCACAAAGCAACGCAAGTTGAACAAAAGTATATGTAGCTACGTATGAATACTGAAAAGGAGCAAAGCGATGCTGCCGAGAAAATAAGACGCAAGGCCTCCAACTTGTGGCGTGCGGCGTATTGAAGAAGCTTAAGCCCTTGTTTTACTGTGAGGCTTCCGCTTGTTGTGCGACGAGATATGACGGACGCCCCTACTGAAGGCGGTCAAGGTAAAGCGCAACACTAACAGGGAAGGCAGCCATTCGCTGTAGAATCCCAATACGTCACAAGCGGCATTCACCAAAGCGTTCAGCCTCACGGCTGCTCTCTCCTTTATTCGGGTCACATGCACGAGCATGACGCACTCCTTGCCTTCGATTGCCCCCACAGCAGCAGCCTGAAGTTTTACACATATCGAGAGACGAAACCGTTGCTTGTGTAAATGACAACAAGGAAGGAATGCTTCCTTGTCCGAAAAGGCTATACTCATATTTGCGGGAGCTTGCAGCTGGTGACTCGAACCTCATAGGCTGCTCAGCTCGAGTCCTTTGCCCCAGCTGTGCAGTGGGCACCAAAGGCGCTTGAACAACACACCCAGAAAGTGTGAGCCGTTGTAACCGACCCAAAGAAAAGTCAGACTCAGCCAACTGAGTAGCCCAAAGACGATGGGAACGCGCAAGGAGAGAAGGCGCCAACGATAGACGGGGACTTGCGCCCTGAATG